ATGAATAGATTGATTTGTTATATTGTTGTCATTTTTCATGTTGTTATACACTTATACTCCGTAATAAACTTTTCCTCTTATATGAAACTAAATGTAATCATCAACATTCTTGTCCACATTTATAGCCTCTCATTTGTTAAAAAAAATAGAAATAAAAAAACACTTGCTTGTTTTTAATTTGTACTTGGAATATATTTCAAAAAAGTAATAATTTGTACTTCGAATAGAATAGGCAAAAACAAGCTAGTTGAGGGCCATTTTGTTCCAATAAAAACAAGAGCCCAAGGGTAGGAAGTAGTAATAAACAATCTTTTTAGGTCTAAAAACTATAAAAAAAAATAAGGCCAGATGCGTAATATTTGATAATAACGGACGAGAAATAAATATTCTTCTGTTATAAAAGATCAATTATATAATTTAATCTATTTTAATTTGTGCCATATGTTACTTTTTTGTACCGCGTAATTCTTAGCGTGTGTAATCTAGGTCGTGCCAGACTTGTTTAGTTGAATGGATTATGATAGAGTGCCCCCCTCCCCCCAAAAAAAAATGTAACAAGAATTTGTTAGTGATTTTTGTGTCATCGATTGTTTATGTAATCGAATTTATTTAGAACGGGCGAGAATTTTAATAGATGTTAAAATTCTCTAGTAAAACTGCCTAATACATTCGAATGTTTGATCCCAAACATTCGAATGTTTCGCGATAAATGATAACGATTTCACATAATATTAAACCGCAAAAATAACAGTTGTGTGATAACTACTACGGCACATTCGGATGTTTGAGTACTAACATTTGAATAATTACCGAAAGTTAATTTGTTTTAGAGTGATGCTAGGGTCACAAACAATTTGTACACAAATTACAAGCAACATGTCCGCTCTAAATTTTGCCAATGTATGTTTTGAGACGAACCAAAATTTCCAAACTCGTTTTAATTATTTACGTCTTATCCGATTGAAGTATTTTGGTATCTTACCAAATAACTTTAATCTGAAAGTGCTTATACACAATTCGCTAAGTCTATTAAGTCAATCTTCGCAACGTTATTATCCCTCTCAAATTTTCAACACAATTTTCACCACACCTTACTCACAAATATCGCCAAAATATCATACTATACATTGGGATAAAAGTTATGGTTATATCTAAGGTCAATTTAGCTTAAGACCATGTGTAGTCATGAAGCTCAACGAGAGAAATTATCCCTTATGTGACAATCACCTCATCAAGGGGTTGCATAACAAAAAAGTGTAGTGTAGACAGTGTAGTCATAAAATCCTTTCAAATGATTATACTAATCCAACCGTTGCCACAAACTCTTTCTACTTTGACCAATAGAAGAAATAGAAATATATTTATATTGTTGACTTTCCAATTTTGTTTTTGATGTGCTCGATAAAAGTAAGATGTGATAGTTAGATTATTAGTGAAAATATATTATGTGATATGCAAGGTAAGAAAAAAGTAAAATGATTTTTAATAGAAAGTAAAAGAGTTTAGCAAAAGAGAAAAAAAATGAAAAAGGAAGTGTTTTAAGAAACAGATGGAGTATTACTGTTTTTTATTTCTTTAATCTTCAAATTTAAATACAAAAATAATATTGTACTAATAAAAAGCATACCTTGTACAATATTTTCTTTAATAATAAAAAATACTCCTTCCGTCCCCAATTTGATTACAAATTGGGGTTTACGAGGAAAATTTTCTCACTTTTTGAAATCATTTTATTTACAAATCGGTATATCAATAAAAAATAAAAATTACATATTGAAAAACTACGTCAAAAGTTCTACAAAACAAGAGGTGAAAAGAATATTTTATTTTATCAAATACTTAATCAAATCGCATAAATAAACAAAAGTTATCGAGAGAAGAGAGAGAAAAATTGTAATCAAAATGAAGATAGATGGAATAAGAGAGTGTTTGGGAGTAATTGGCTTATTGATAAAGTAATTTCTACAAAAGCTGAAAGCAAAAGCACCTCATACCTGCTTCTCCGAAACGGTGTTCCATGTACAAAATAATGTTGGTGAAAAGCAGAATCTGACATGTCAAACAGAGTAAAATCACTTCCACTCAAAGCAGAAGCTAAATTGTTAAAAACAACGCACTACCAAACACCCTCTAATATCGTACAACATTTCATTAAATACTCCGTGATAAAATAGCATTTTTTTTTTGCAAGAAGATGCCATATTTGAGAGAAGAATGTTGGATTTTATAATTATTGAGAGTAGGAATTCATGAATTTGTATACCTTTTTGAATGGTTTTATACATATAGGGTTCTAAATTAAATAATTTTTTCAACCATGCTAGGGCTACACCAAAAAGTGTATCCCAACTTATAGTTCAAAGGGATGCACCGACAATTTAACGGTTTCCACTGACACAAAATATTAGTTCAATCAAAAAAATTGCAACGACATTTTGTGTCAATATGAACCATCACACTAGCAATACACTAACACAAAATATTAGTGCATGCATTCGGAGTACAAAGTGAAGTATAATTTTTTTGTGTATAAATAGTTTAATTCAATTCTTTTTATATAAGCATGCATTCTCTTCACCTCCTTTTCTTTATTATTGCTCATACCGTCGAGAGTGGTGTATTCTCTTACATCCCAGTTGAGGGGGCACAATAGTATACTGTGGGGTTGGATGATAGCGTCAGATTTTTTTAAATGAAATAACAAACAAATGTTATTCGAATTATGCCAAAAAATAACCAAAAATGATAGTTCACAAAACAAAGTAAGATTTAAAAAATTTTTAATTCATTTTATTTAAAGATTGATATATAAATAAAAATCTAACTCACATATAAAAAAACTACAGAGTACGTCAAATCTTTTACAAAATGAGTGGTTACAAGAATATTTTATTTTATCAAATAATCAATAAAAACACACAAATAAACAAAAATTTTCGTGATTACGGAATAGTGAAGAAGGAATATAATTCTAGGAAAGATAGAGTATTATTTAATTTATTATTGCATACGCTAATTTAAATTTTTTCAAAGTCCCGATTTTAAAAAATTAATCCATAATTTCAATTTAACACATACTCCGTAACAAATTAGTTTTATAGTAATAAGCATCCAGTATCATAATTTGATACTTAAATACTCGGTAGTAAAAAGCATCCCATAATCATCACCAAATACGAATTGAGTAATTTACTTAAATAGGACTAAAACATAATGATTTTCCCAATATATGACCATATGTTTTTATTTCTCAATGTAGGACTTTTGATCATTATGAATTAGTCATTATTCAACTAAATGTCTATCACTACTGGACATTATTCCTCCCACACTACAAGAATCTCGCGTAAAAGCTGCAAAAAAAATAGAGGGGGATATTTCCGCCTCTAATTAGCTGTAGAGCAGAGGCGGAATATTCACCCTCTGTTTTAAATTTTTATTAGTGGGTAACATTTCCGCCTCTAGTTTCGTAGCTAATTGAAATAAATTTCAATTTTATTACCGGGAGATTAAAGTTAAATAAAAAATAGCGGGAGAATTAAAAATTTAAATTTTTTTTAAAAATATTCGAATTAGAGGTGGAATAGTCCCCCACTAGTATCAAACACAAAAGAGTCGGACTTATCCCTCGCTAAATCCAATATTTCCCCATCTAATTCAAAAATAAAAATAGTGTGGTAATTTTGTGTGGTATGTATCTCCCCCTTATCCCATTAAGGAAAAAAAAGCCCCTCTTCTGTTTCTCCCTCAAAGCAGCCGAGGAGTGACCGGCTAGCTGAAGCAGCCGCATGTGTGAAGCCGCTGAAGTGAGAAGCCGTCACCCCCGCGTCGCCGACCGCCGTCACCCGCTCTCTTCTCCGCCGTCTAGCAAGCCGACGCTCAGCCTCCCCTCCAATTTCTAGGTTTTAACTCATCTTGAAATTACTCTAATTGTTCAATTGTGTGAATTTCTTTTCTTGTCTCTTGAAAATTCTCTAAATTCTTCAATTATGTGAATGAAAATATTCTAATTGTCCAATTGTATGGAATTTTATGTTTTACTTTTGTTACCC